GGGGTAGTATGGCTCCAGCCGTAGGGGCCGTGGCCCCGGAGTCGCCAGATCCACCATGGCCTCCCGAGTCCCCAGATCCGCCTTGGCCTCCCGAGTCCCCAGATCCGCCTTGGCCTCCCGAGTCTCCAGATCCGCCTTGGCCTTCCGAGTCTCCAGATCCGCCTTGGCCTTGGCCTCCCGAGTCCCCAGATCCACCTTGGCCTTGGCCTCCCGAGTCCCCTGCTCCGCCCTGGCCTTGACCTCCCGAGTCCCCTGCTCCACCTTGGCCTCCCGAGTCCTGCTACGCCTTGGCCTTCCGAGTCCCCTGCTCCGCCATGGCACCCGGAACGGGTACCGCCCAACCCCCCATCCCCATTGGATGTTATATGGCGTGAGGACACGCCTTCCGGAGGGGGGCGTTATGTCAGACTCTGTTCCGTGTTTTGTGGTTGTTTTCCTCATGTGCCTTCCTTTCCCATGTTTAATTTGTCCCAGGTGTTTCCCATGATGTTTCATTGCTCCCAGGTGTGTCTCGTCATCCCCTCCTCCTGTGTGTATAAATAGTGTTCCCTGTGTGTGCTCCAGCGTCCGGTATTGTTTGTGTCTACAGTGCTACGTGTGATTCCCCGTGAAGATGAATAAATTCCTTGGTTTCTGTACTCTTGGTCTCCTCGTTCCTTGCTCCGTGTTCCCGCACCGTAGCAGATCGTGACAAATATAGAGAAAAACAGTAAACATTTCTAATACTTTGAAACTGTTTCTTCCCAAACTTCAAACTACTTATAAAATAATTAAACTACATTGAAGATGTCTTTAAAAAAACGAGTGAGCTAGCCTATGCTACAAGCTAATAACATAAAGTAGCTAACTACATTGTACCTACAATATTTAATGATTGCAACAGCTTATTTTTTTTAATCAGAGCAGTACATTTCTGCCACAAAACAGCCTCAGTAAGGCTGACAATGTTAAATTTAAGAATGTGACAAAAATATGTAGCATTTTGTGGTACTCCTTTTTGGAAAAGGTAGCTTCTCTTACAAAAAATTAACCATGGTTTTACTTCAAAAAAAAAAAAACATGCTTCCTATAGTACTATGGCAACCACAAATTAACCATGGTTTTGCTACACTAACCATAGTTTAACCATGGTATTTGTAGTACTGTGGTTATACAAATGGTAATCAATACGCCAAAAACATGGTTACTGCACTTTTACTATAATAAAACCATGGTTAATTTTCATAAGGGTTAATGCTGAAAAAGCTACGGTTAAACTACTGTCAAACTACTGAAAAATATAAAGTTACTAGGGTTTCTACTTCAGCAATATTGTACAATTGCACAATACTGCATAAAGCCATGCTTTTTTTTGGCATTTGCGATCCCCTGCTATTTTAGTATTGCTGGAATTAAGCAGAGGTCGGGGGAAATCAATTTTTCAAAACACTTTTTTCTCAACACTGTATCAATAATCTCATGTCAAGAGTCTATATTTTTAGTTACTACTTTGTATGAACATGTTTGAAAATTGTTTTTTTTTTACGCAATTTAGCATTAGGTTTTTTTTCTGTTTTTTTTTTTTTCAAATAGGAAGAAAAATATAATTGCAGTAAATGATTTAAGAAACAATTGAGTAAAAGATCAAAATCTGCTACGGTTTTGAATAACTTTGAAATTAAAGAACTATGATATCATGATCATTATCATATCATGACCCAAATAATATAATATAATATAATATAATATAATATAATATAATATAATAACAGGTTCCTCATGATTCCCACCCTTATTACTCATTAATCAGCATCTATTAGACGCAACATACAATTGGAAATAAAGAATGTACAAATAAAGTAATTTGAGACAGAAGGAGAGGGAAAGTGGAGAGAAACAGGTGAGACAGACAGAGAGAAGGATAGTACTGCAATCTTGCTGTCAATCATTAATCTCGCCTTACCATGAAGACATTCATCAAACAGACCGATACTGCTGAATCAGATCCACACACACTCACAGCCCTGGGGCCATCCATCCATCACTCACTACACAGACGTTTCTGACCCCAATAGGGAATCACCCTGGACACACACACTCATATTTTAAAGGGGTCATATGATGCTGCTAAAAAGAACATTATTTTGTGTTTATGGTGTAATGAAATGTGTTTATGCGGTTTAAGGTTAAAAAAACACATTATTTTCCACATACTGTACATTATTGTTTCTCCTCTATGCCCCACCTTTCTGAAACGTGTCGATTTTTACAGATCTTCTTTATGCACCAAGAGCTTGTAACACTCCAAAGAGAAAGGAAAAATTGAAATCGCATCATATGACCCCTTTAACAACCCATACACACACAGACTCATACCTGCTGCATCATGGTCTCCTTGTACTGTTTTTTCTGTGTGACTTTGATTGGCGCGAGTTTGGTTACTGCAGAGATGAGGAAATTCATGAGGATGTCCTCACAGTTGGCCAACTGGTCCACCATTGACAGCAGAGATGTTGGCAGGTAGTATGTGTACAGGTGATGATAATACCTGACCAAAAAACAAAAAAAAACAAAAAAAACAAAAGGAATGAATAAAGATATTAATTAGATAACAGGGGAGAAAATAAATAAAAAAAACAAGGCAATTTGCCTGTAGGGAAGTTAAAACTGACAATTTTTTTTACTGTTTTATTTTGAATGCTGCTCAGAAACCCTGCCATTAAAGAGACAGTTCACCCAAAAATGAAAACATCAATTTCTCATCCTCATCTTGTTCCAAATCCACAAGACTTTTGTTCATCTTCGAAACACAAATGAAGATATTTTTAATGAAACCCGAGAGATTTCTGTACCTCCATTGAAAGTCCATTCCACCAAAACTTTCAAGCTTTTTTCAAGTTTTCTGAAGAGACTTGATAGGTTGTATGTGCATTCATCAATGTTGATATGTGAATAAAAACCTGAATTAAAACTGTTCCTCGTATAAAGCGATCAAGTCTCCTCAGAAGACTTGCTCAATACAAATGGATTCATATGGCTTACTTTTTATGAACTTTTTGAAAGCTCAAATAGGCTTTCAAAGGAGGGACAGACATCTCTAGGTTTCATTAAAAATATGTGAATTAGTGTTTCAAAGCTGAATGCAAGTCTTATGGGTTTAGAACGACATGAGGCTGAGTAATTGACTGATCTATTGACAGTCCCAGCTTAATTTTATTTTTATTTTAAGTGTTATAGTGTCATTCTCTTGCATGGATAGTCACCCTACTCACCCTCATGTTGCTCCAAATCTGTATGCATTTCTTTGTTCTGCTGATCACAAAATAAATTATTTTTAAGAACATTTATAAGCAAGAAGTTTCGGTTCCCATTGACTTCCATTGTATTGTATTTATTTATTTATTTATGGAAATCAAAGGGAACCAAACATTTTGGCTGCCAGCATTCTTCAAAGTATCTTCTTTGTTATTCCATAGAGGAAAGAAATACATACAGGTTTGGAACAACATGATGGTGAGTAAATGATTACAGAATCTTCATTTTAGGCTGAACTATCCCTTTAACAATCTTTTAATTACCTCATATTTTTCATATATTCTTTTAGGAGGAACATCTGAGACAACTTAAACGAGTGCTCCGTTAAGAGCAACCTATGAGTAATAAAATGTTCGTCTGGGTGGGACTCAAAGTATAGTCATGATACCCAGCACAGACAGAGAGGCCCTACCCTGCTGTGAGAACCTCAAAAAGACATGTTTTAATTTCTGTGAGTGACACTGTCTACTCTCTCTCTCTCTCTCTCTCTCTCTCTCTCTCTCTCTCTCGCTGTCCTTATTAAATTGAATCTCCTTTCCTGCCTGCAGATGTCTTTTCTGTCATTCTCATTCCTTCCCTTTCTTTTTTTCCCTCTCTCTTTGAGGGACAGCCGTCAGAGCATTCCTCTCAGCTCTGCAGGTGGCTTATCTCTCTTCAGACGTTTATTTATGTCTTTTTCTCCTGCACACTTTAAGCTGGGGTCACTTTGCAGGTGGTGTGTCAGCTCGCTGACCAGTAGCAAAGCGGTTAATCTGTGTGTCGGGTGTGTGATGTGTCAGTCTGAAGGTCTGTGTGTGACTGTGTGTGTGTGTGTTTGTGTGCGGCTCTGTTGTGCGGCTCTGTTGAGTTATGAGTTCAGAGACCTTCAGCTAAAACAAACTGTGAACTCCATCTCACCTGTGCCATTTATCGTAAAAATATGACCAGTGAAGCTTTCAGACTGAACATTTATTACCTGCTTTAATATCAGCCTTTCTCTGAACGATCTCTATCACAGCAGGTCTCACATTCGGCTTTTACAAGCACCTGACACTGACCTCCGTGAGAGTCGACAAAAACCTGTGACTAAAGATTCGACAAACTGTGAATCCCTGCTGTGTTGTTGTTAGGTTGTTGTGGAAGGTTACTACTGCTATGTGTTTGCTAAGGTGCTCTGGGTTTTTAAGAAAGCTGCTGTTGCTAGGGTTTTGTGGATGGTGTCCTGGGTGTTTCTATGTGGTTGCTATGCTGTTGCTAGGGTGTTGTGGATGGTATTCAGGGTGTTTCTGTGGTTGCTATACTGCTGCTTGGGTGATGTGGATGGTGTTCAGGGTGTTTCTGTGTGGTTGCTATGCTGTTGTGTATGGTATTCAGGGTGTTTCTGTGTTGTTGCTATGCTGTTGCTAAGGTGTTGGGGATGGTGTCCAGGGTGTTTCAGTGTGGTTGCTAAGGTGATATTGATTATTTAGAGTGTTGCTAGGGTGTTATGGATGGTGTACATGGTGTTCAGCTAGGGTGATGTGGATGGTGTTCAGGGTGTTTCTGTGTGGTTGCTTTGCTGTTGTGTATGGTATTCAGGGTGTTTATGTGTTGTTGCTATGCTGTTGCTAAGGAGTTGGGGATGGTGTCCAGGGTGTTTCAGTGTGGTTGCTAAGGTGATATTGATTATTTAGAGTGTTGCTAGCGTGTTATGGATGGTGTTCAGGGTGTTTCTGTATGGTTTCTATGCTGTTGCTGGGGTGTTGTGGATGGTTTCCAGGGTGTTTCTGTGTGGTTGCTTTGTTGTCACAAGAGTGTTGTTGATGGTATTTAGGGTGTTTCTGTGTGGTTGCTATGCTGTTGCTAGGGTGTTGTGGATAGTGTTTAGGGTGTTTCTGTGTGGTGGCTAAGGTGCTTTGAATATTTTTTAGAGCCTCACTGTTTCTGTTACTGTGTGGTTGCTATGCTGTTGCTAGGGTGTTGTGGATGGTGTTCAGGGTGCTTCTGTGTGGTTGCTATGCTGTTGTGTATGGTACTCAGGGTGTTTCTGGATGGTGTACATGATGTTCAGGGTGTTTCTGGATGGTTTCTATGCTGTTGCTGGGGTGTTGTGGATGGTGTTCAGCGTGTTTCTGTGGTTGCTAAGCTGCTCTGAGTGTTTTAGAGTATTGTTCTTGCTAGGATGTTGTGGGTGGTATTCAGGGTGTTTCTCTGTTGTTGCTATGCTGTTGTTAGGGTGTTGTGGATGGTGTTCAGGATGTTTCTGTGTGGTTGCTAAAGTGCTTTGAGTGTTTTAGAGAATAACTGTTGCTATGGTGTTGTAGGTGTTGTTCAGGGTGCTATGGCATTGTAGGTGGTGTTTCTTATGTGGTTGCTATGCTGCTAGGGTGTTTCTGTGGTTGTTAAGGTACTCTGAGTGTTTTTAGAGTGTTGCTAGGGCGCTCTGGATGGTGTCCATTGTGTTTTTGTGTGTTCTTTTGTTTTAGATGTCTTTTTTCTTTCAAACAATCTTTCAAAAATTCAAACGTCATCTCTAGAGTGCTGGTTAAAAATGTAACATAACTAACAACATATTCTCATGTTTTAACTGCCAGCTAACTTGCACAATTTTATCATGGCTGAGTCATACAATTTTAATTAAATAAAAATTGTATGACTTTTAAATCTTTAAAATGTTTAATAAATTGTATTTATTCAGAAAGCATCCAAGGGGCCCGCAGGATGACTTCAAATTAATAAAATCTAACCTTTACCCCAGTGTCAGAAGAAACTTCAACACACTTCAGCAATAAAAAAAGACACACAAATGTTTGTCTAGTAATTTTTGCTAGTAATTAGTATGGTTGAACTGGATCATCGAAGGTCAGAAGCAAAGACATTGGTTAATAGAATGGGATTAAATACATAAAGGATATTTGTGTTGTTTAACATTTAATTATTGCAGGTTTGCGTCATATTCTGAGTTGCATTATTTTTATTCATTTTGAGGAATACTGAATCTGTGTGTTTTTTTTTGTGAGTGAGATGAATTAATGCATATTTATTATGCATTATGTAGTTATTATTTTAGAACTACAGTAACATCTTCTGATTTCTCTCAACATGGGGACAGGAGAGCTGTCAATCAATAATTTGGAAAAAAAAGAAAAAAAAAGTAACTTGCGTTACTTATTTGAAAAAGTAACTCAGCTATTCTCTTGTAAATTAAAAAGTAATGCGTTACATTACTAGTTACTTGAAAAAAGTAATCTGATTACATAACTCGCGTTACTTGTAATGCGCTACCCCCAACACTGCTGCAGAGCAAGTACCGAGACTGGCTACTTCCAATACATCCTCAGACATGTTGCTGTGAGCATGTAAGAAATACTGCTGCTGCACATATAACATACATGAAATTACCTCCATATATAACATACATGAAATCACCCCATAGCAGGTGGAGCTGGGGAAGATGGAGGGTTTCTGAAGCACGCTGCAACTGCTACAGCAAGCACTAGCCAAGTATTTGAATGTTGAGTAGCATGCTCATTGGCTTTGTATTTCATAAAAAATCAATAGAATAGAAAAATTGCTACAGAACAAAAACAAATTCACTTCAGGTCAGTTTTGTGTTGTATTGTGTTGTCTGGAGATTACCTGTGGTAGAACGCAGCTCCTGTGAGCACCATGGAGTATTCATTGGTCCATTTAGAGGTATAACCCCACCTCCCCTTCCCACTGTCCCAGTAATGGCTGCGTGCTGGGTAGCCTACGATCCGATCTGGAAAACTCTGCCAAACAATGAAGGCGAAATCCACCTGCAAACCCAGAGAAGACAGAAGTGCACAATTTTGATTACATAACTGATTCAGAAGGTGAGTAAATAAAGACAGATTTTTGTTTTTTGGTTAAACTATTCCTTTAAGAACAAAGACATTATGTTCATTTTCATTATCTCTACAGACTTCAGATAAAACCAAAGCGAAGACCCTGCTTAAGAAACTCATCAGAAGAGATTAAAGAAGTAGAATTAACAAAAGCAACATTAGCTCTCTTGATAGTCTGTTAAAAGAATTGACACGGGCTCACTTTCAGTGAGATACATTATCAAAGGAGCCAATGAGAGCTAAAAGAGAACAAGCATTTTCTAACTCAGCTCTTTATTTAGCCTTGGATTTTCTAATGCCTTCAGACATGCTTCAGCGTCAACACAACTGACTTGTCTGCATGCAGGAGATGAAAGCAATTCTTGCTCTGTCAAAGTCAGCGTGCGCACATATTAAAAAATGAACCCTCAAATCAGAGGAAAAGGTTGCAAACGTCCCCCTTAATGTTATAATAGATTAATCGCTGCGTTAGCAGCAGACTCTGAGCCAGATTTATGACATCATGCAAATAACGTGGCCTTAAGGAATTACGGCTTTAAGGCACATCACTCCAGCAATGCATTGTGGCTGACACATTGAAATTTGCTCCATTCATTATGTGTACCGGACCTTGATTATAGATCTGAGCGAGTGGGAAAGATGAATGGCAGCTGGAGTCACGAATGCTTGGTCTGAGAAGAACAGAACTTTAAGATCAAGGCTAACAAATGAGTTTAACTAATTGTCTAGCTCTTATTTTACTTAGCAGTATGTTAAAAGGAGACTCTGAAGTGTTCAATGTTCCCAAAGGTCATAATTTCAAAATGAAAGGGCACCCTCCTTTTTGGTGAAATTTTGCAGGCAAAAAAGGTCAATTTTCAATATTGAAGTGATACATGATGTACTCACACAGAAGTCGCTTTCAAACCAAGCAGCTTTCTACACAGCGCCATAGATTTATGTTGGTCATCGCTGCAAATTTGCATGACCAAATACAAAATCTCTGAAATCCTCAGTATGTTGTTGTAATGTTCATATGCATTTCTAATGAAGAGACATGCAAAAAAACAAAAAAACAGTGTCTACACTGCAGGCTGGCAACATAATATGATGCAACAAAACTAGAATGTTTTATACAATCAAAGGCAGCTGTCTGATGCATCCAAATTTACGTAATTTTAAGCATTAAACAATGGGACATTTTTGATTTTGGGACTATGAAACTATAGCTTTCTATGATACAAGCTACTCATAATTTAATGGAGTTAAAGGTGCGATAAAATGGAAGAAGCATGGGGCTACAATTCATCGGTTGCTGATTGAATAAGGGCAAATCTAGCATGCAGTCAGCTGCAAGAAAGGGGCGGAGTCCAAAGTCCAAGGTATACTTCATACCCTTGTCAAAAAAAAAAAAACAATTAGAGAGATCCTTAGAGAGATTAGCCACATGACATTTATGGGTCAGATAATTGGATTAAAAAATATCCAAAAGCTATCCATAAGCAAAAATGGCAGAATTGCATTGTGGGGATCATGCACCAGCCAAGCAACTGCCATTGAAATGAATTGGAATGCTAACCTCCTTGGCAAGCACACATTCATAGGGTCAGATGTGCAATAAAGATAAATGGGAAAACAAATACGTGATAGGTTAAGACACAGATTCACTTGCAGAAACATGCACAAACACTAGATTAATGCTGTAATTTATATTACTCTGTCATTGTACTATAACAATTATTACCCTTTCTGGTCAATTCTTCAGGCCATTAACTGCAGCACAGACATCATAACCCATGGGCTCTGCTGTGCCGCTGTTATGCCACACATGTGCCTACAGTCTAATGATGCTTGGCACACTAAAAAAACTTCAACCCCTATATTACATTTCCCATTTTAATAAGCCAGTTAATGAGTCGAAACAATGCAATTATCAATTGTATGGAGCCATAGCGCTGCACAGTCTTAAAAAATGGAAACCACTGCCATATTCTCACATTCTCAGCACTTTTCAATTAAAACCCTCTCAAATGCTTAAAGGGCAATTACTAGGGGCAGATTACTATGTGAAATGAGTGGAAGCTTCCCTCCAAATGTTGCTGGATTTGTTTAAAGCCACAAGAGCTTCCTCACCAAAACTGAGACTCATTAAACTTTTGTAATACGGGTTCTGTAATCTTGTACTGCTTTAAAAGTTAAGTGGATATTCTGGCCAGACCGAAGTAAAGATGTACTGGGTGCAGTTAATAAATCATCAGTATGATGAATTATGAATAGCAGGTTTCAAACACACACTGAGCTTTGCCATACGTAATGAACTTGAGAAATTAGTAGCTTTCCAGCCATCTGATTGGATACATTCTCACCGCTTGTGACACTTGAAATATTATTCTGAAGTATTATAACTTACATTGCAGTACAGCCAGTGCACTTTAAAATTGCTGGTAAATTTCACAAACAATTACAAGAAATGTCAAGTAACACTGAAGAAAACATGAAATTTTGAAGAAAAAATCTTCTAATCTAATCTAATTTTACCTGCCATGTAGAAAATTTGTTTCAAAAAGATTTTTGAAGCGTATCTTTCTTTCCTCAAACTTCATCATAGAATTACGATAGTGTCAGACAAATGTAAGAGATCAGTCTTTGGGATGTAATTGGTTTGGCCAACTACTACTGCTTTTCAAAACTTGCACCATCAAAGAAGATCAAGAAAATCTTAATCTCAAGATCCGACTGCAATGGAGTTAACAATACATTCCATAACCAGATTAATTCCCACATTGTTTTTCCTCCAACCCCTGCCTAGGAATTTACAAACAAGCTTCATATTATCTATGCCAGGACAGCTGCTGAGAATGTTTCTTTTGTTTATAACACTCTCAACCCTGTAAACTGCTGGAGAATTGCATTGGCAAAAAATCCTTCCTGGCCCTTGGATCATCTCTGCCTTACTCAAACGTAGACCTACGACACCCTAATCATCACAGCACCCTGTTTGTTTAGAGAATAAATAAATCCCATAATTCTTCACATTGCCTGAAACATCTTTGCCAGATGGTGCAGCCATGTTTTGTGAATTGTGCACTGCAGCCACACAGATTTGCATATCACAGCTTGAGGAATGACAGTTGTTAACTACACATTTATAATCCTTTTAAAATAATAATTACTCCAGATTTGGACAATTTGCTGGGAATCTGGAATCTCATTCAGGCCTTTGAAACATTAACTATTCATCTAAAATTATAAGGAGGTAGTTCTCTAAACAGTTGCGACACTTTTGACGGTGGTATGTTAGTGCAAATACCTGCATCTTATTCACTAACCATTGCAATATAGTTCAGCGGGTGCAGTGTTGCGTCCTCAACACTGAAATTAAGTCATTGACATCTTTTCTGCGCAAGCACAGCTACTTCTAATGTAAATTAGGTTCATTATAGATTATGCTTCTTTCACAAAAAATGCCCTCTGATGTTTGCATTGTGCTATTACCAACAAATTATTGGCCTATAGGCTAAATTAAACTGACTAGTGATCATTGCAGTGGTAACTGCAGCTAAGTGTAGATATCACCAGTGCCAAAAAGTCGAAACTCTGTGCCAAGAATTTCATTGTTTCAGTTAAATGAGAATTTTAAAATTGTTCTGTTTACGTATATATTTACATAGCATCAATGTGATTTGCCTGGTGCATGATCTACACCAGTGGTTCCCAACCCTGGTCCTTGAGGCACCCCAACACTGCACATTTTGCATGTCTCCTTTCTCTGACACTCCAGTTTCAGGTCTTGGAGTCTCTACTAATGAGATGATCACCTGAATCAGGTGTGTTTGATTAAGGAGACATGCAAAACGTGCAGTGTTGGGGTGCCTCAAGGACCAGGGTTGGGAACCACTGATCTACACAATTCCTTCATTAAATCATGTCCTGAACCAGTGCAGTGCAGTCACCAGTCTTTGTGAATCTGCTCTTAAAAAATTCAGTTTAAACCAGGTTAAATTGGCTGATTTATTCAAGCAAGAGATAATGACATTAAAATGAGTTGTCTCCTTTAGTAACCGATATCATGTTACAATTAAGTTTTATTCATTTCACATCATATTCAGTGTAAAAGACCGATCTTTCATAAAATATAATGTCAAACATAGCTCTTGACCTTTTCCTTTATGAAAACATTTAAATTGTCAAGATTCACCACTTAAAAGGCATCATTCAAAAGAATAGCATTTATGTTAGGATTGTGTTCTGTTCTGTTGACTTTTATTTACTTCTGTTTCCCATTGTCCCGGTTTCTTCTTTCTTTAGTTTTGGTTTTCTTTATTTCTGATTACTGTATGTGCTGTGTTTTCATTTGTATCTGTCTGATGTTAACACATAGTGTGGTTTGCATTTATTTACCTATAATATCCTTCTGAGCATTTCTGTTATTATTAATAAAGACTCTGTTATTTTGAAATACTCCAGCATCTTCATTGTCATGCGTGTCGGCTAGCAGCCACTGTTACAATTCACGTTAAACACTTGCTTTCTGAAAATACCAAAAAATCTTCCAAGCTTAAAGTTCAACAAAAAAAAAGTTGTTAAATTTTGCAAGAAAGAAAGAAAGAAAGAAAAAAAAAGATGTAATGGTATAATGTACTGATGAATTATGAACAGTAAATTTTGTTTTGAGGAGCTTTTTGGCACAATCTAATTTAAAAAAAAACAAGAAACACCTTATAAATCGTTTTGAATACATTGTATTTGTACATTTGTTCTTTTTATTGTATTTGCACATTCATATTTGTATATTTGTACTTTTATTCCTTAAAATGAGTGCTTGAAAAAAAAACTTCATAAAATAATCATTACAAATATTTATTTTTATATTTGATTATTAACAGGTAAAAAATACTACTATTAATAATAATTACAAAATGTTTGTCCGTTTCTGTCATGCCATTGTACTCATCAAGGTTTTTTTTTTTTTTTTTTTTTTTTTTTAAATACAAAAAATATGGAAAAGTACTTTCAAGGTCAATGGAAAAAGAGGCTGTACATGAAAAACTGGATTAAAGGTATAATATAGGCTATTTAGTGCAATCAGTTGTGTCTTGAGATGCTTTTGATACCATTTTATAACTCAGAAATTCAAATTATAAATGAATCCCATCAAAACTCCTATAAGCAGGTGTGTAGGAATAAACATTTCAGGAATGGAACCTTCATTAGGAATCTGTTTTCAAATAGGACGTTAAACACACCCAAATTTAAAATACAAAGCAGCCAATGAGAGCATAATTACATTTAATAATAGCCAATAATGTACCAGGACAAAAAAGTGACAGAAATTCAGAATGTCAGAATTTGCCATATTTTGAGAATGACACACCAGGATCAGAACACCAACATCTTTTTATGAATTTGGACATCCGATTAGAGATGTTCTTCTTTCTCTTTGTCTAGCACATATTATTGTCTGATTAAATTATACAGCTGAGAGCAATTAAAAATGAACCCAGCAGGCTGCTGATGATGCAGTGTGCAAATATCATCTCTTCTCTCAGGGAAACTTAAGACAGAGAATTGACATTAACAAAGTGCAGAACAAACATAAAATAAGCCAGAAATTGAGAATACATGCAGCATCACAAATACCACTGAATAACACAGATGAGGACAAAGCAATGAGGTAAAAAAGGACAGGACAAAGGAAGTAGGCTGAGAGAGCGAAAGTTTGTTTGTGAGTGAGAAAGAGATTCTCAATGTAAGAATATTGCAATATTAGCTTAGCAACATGCTAAAATATAAGCATCAGACTTAACATCACGCAAAAACTCAACTGAAGTTAGTTGCATGTTTTCTTTACACTTCATCCAAAGTTCTGTCATGAAACTCTAGATGGCGCAGTCCGATATAGGTTCTAACTCAATCTGACATAATGACATCATTATTCACCTGGCACAGCTGATTGGTTTCTTTTCGTATCAGCAGCCAATAAGCTGCTGCTCCACATTCGAATGCTTGGCTAGTGCTTGCTGCAGTTGCAGTGCACTTCAGAAACCGTCCACCCTCCCCAGCTCCACCTGCATAGATCTGCTACGGGGTAATTTCATTTATGTTATATATGGGGGTAATTAGATGTTGTATGTGCAGCAGCAGTATTTCCTACATGCTCACAGCAGCATATCTGTGGATGTATTTGCAGTAGCAAGTCTCGGTACTTGCTCTGCCGCCGCAGCAGCAGCGTAGCAGACCTATTCCGCCAAGACCAAACACCAGTGGTGGACAGTAACTGTACTTAAGTACATTTTTCAAGTATCTGTACTTTACTGGAGTAGTTTTATTTTGAGTAACTTTTACTTTTACTTCACTACATTCCAAAGCATAAGATCGTACTTTTTACTTCACTACATTTCATAAAACTTATCGTTACTCCTTATAATATATCACGTACTCCGAGACGCAGAAGCTGTGTCTGATTCATGAATGAACTGATTCTTTTCAATTAACCCGTTAAATCGGTTCGCAAATGGCACCAAACGATTCATTCACGAATCGGAATGATCCGATTGCAGCTGTTCTCGAGTCGACAACTCACTGATTCAAATGATCCGTTTAGTGCGAGTCTCCAGCGAACTGAATTCACAAGTAACCGGGAGATCTTGTGAGCGCGCGCGCGACAGATGCTGCTAAAAGTAAGTTACTAATGTCGAATTTTAGGATTCATTATTGTAATTATTGTTGTTTGTGAACTAACTGTAAAGGGTGATCTGTTTAAGCCCACTGAAATGCTTGAATGCAGACACATTAACATCAGAGTCTCTATGTTTTAGGTAAAAAAACATAAAAATAACACAGATTAAATAAAATAACGCATGCACGTACATCTTCCCCGCTGCTGTAATGTTAGCAGTTTTACTCAAATGCTATGCATTTAGCCCTATGTGACGTCTGTTTTTATATTGTTTGTCAGCACACATAGCCTAAGTTACTATGTATCTGGATCAACTAGCCGAATAGACAAATATAAATGTTTATTCATAACCATGCTGAAAATAAGTCAATGTTAGCTGATGCTAACTGTCTAACTAACAAGCTTGCTGGTGCTAAATTTAGGTAATTAAAAAAAAAAAAAAAGTCCAAATATATTTATTCAACCACATAGATAGATTACATCTGAGGGAAAAATGAAGGATGTGATGTTCAGAACATGGTAACTACAGTAATTATCAAAGTGGGAAGTGATGCCCTTTGGGGGCATTTGGCCAGGGGTGTTTTTACACCACAGACAAGGTTTGAGAAGAAAAAAATCATTATGAAAATCGAATTATATTTTCCTTATTATATTCATTATTTCCTTATTGGTTATTTTGGGAAAATCCCAGGTATTTTGAGCAGTAGGATTATAAAAAAATATATGCTAATATAAAATTAAATGATAAAAGTAGCCTATATAAAACTGTAAAATAAACATTCATCTATCTGTACTTTTTACTTAAGTACATAAAAAATCAAGTACTTTTGTACTTTCACTCGAGTAAAATTGAAAACTGAGTACTTTTACTGGAGTAATATTTTATTATACGGATCTGTACTTTTAATCAAGTACTTGATTTGTGTACTTTGTCCACCACTGCCAAACAAATTAACATCGTCGTACATTAACATACTAAACTCTCAGAGAGTTGTCATGACATAAATGTGATAAGTGCTATTTAACAATGACAATTTGTCTGGTTATCATTAGAAATGTAATAATACATTTCAATATAATGTCAATTTTTTCACTTGGCAAAGAATTAGGATTTTGAATGACAGAACCATATAGCCTACCATATGAGATACCATCCCATTTCACATAACATTTATTATGATGAATGAATGTGTGATCTCTTACCTCATTGGTGGACAGAACCGAGTCCTCGTCCAGGCTGAGAACTGCATCAGTTTTGATAGCATGATGAGGGAAAAAACGGCCACTCATCGTCTGAGGAAAACAGGAAGTGACATTAGTGATTCAGAGATTTTCAGCACAGATACTGGTTGAAAGTAGTTAATTTACACATTTAGCTTTGGATTTGCAATTTTTTACAAATTTGTTCAGAAATAACAATGTATTTATTAATGAAACTTTACTTTGACGCATCCTTGTCTATCATCGCCTATGTCGCTTTTGACATCTGTTTGTGTCTTATCTGTTCATCAACTGAAAGTCACAATAGTTAAACATCTGCCAAAGTACAATATGGTAATTTACATCTTGCGGTAAGAAAAAGGACATTGAAAAAACAAAGGTGTAGTGAAACTTTTTTCATTGCTAAATAGTGTAGAGTGGTGTTGCTGAATCGTGTACAGTACACGTACTGTATTTGTGTCTGTATTCCAGTGTCATTACATGTGTTTGTAGTCTCTCAGGGTGCAAAGGCCAATTCGATAAGTCATTTGGCCCAAGAAATGACTATTTTCTGGAAAATTGCATAGTTTCAGTCATTTAGCTTGCTGTCATACCCATAGACTATTGACTGTCCATATGGTGCGATTTCCAGGGGTCAGGGACACAGGTTTTTACATGCAGAGAAACAAAGTCCTGTTGCAAAGTACAAAGATGTTACAATAAGCACGTCTGAGGAAGATTATTTAAAAGATTTTCAGAGTTTTGTTTGAGGCAAATAAACTATATGTATATTACTGTAGCACAACTTTAAATCCTTCTGATAACGTCAGAGGAAGGTCAATAAAGTAATCGGTACTCATTGTGGTTGGACTGATATTTTGATTACACAGTCAACACACATTTTCTACTCATTTTTTTCAAAGGTGACCCAACACAGTTCCCACATGCAACCTGTTAATGTTGATGTCTGTCTAATTAATTGTTTGGAAATTTAGAATGTACAGCCTTTGACATCAACAACATAAGATCAGATTGTCCTGTGCCCCATTTTAGATTTCCAAACGATCAGAGAATGATTATTTGCCAGACAGTCAAAAGCACTGAGAACAGGTTATTTATCACAGCAAAAGGGATGTCAACAGAGCGTTGGCGCACAGTTTCTGGCAATATTGTTGACTTGTCTACACAGTCACTATTGGAAGAGAACTGAACTGAGCTGGACGATCACATCACTGAATCAATAATGAACTGACTTTAACTGATAAATTGACTGTTTTCTATTGTCCTCGTGTATTTTATCAGCACACGTTTTTTTCCTGTTTAACACTGTAAAGCTGCTTTAACACAATATGTATTGTATAAAGTGCTATATAAATACAGGTGACTTGACTTGACGTTGGATTTGGTCTTCAAATATCTTACAGATTTTCTCTGAAGGTCCTATTTATACTGCCAAGTCGTTGAGAGGTTGACTGGCCACAGAACACTGTCGTAGAAAGACATGTTTAGCGAACGGTGTGACTTTGTGATATCAGTGATAGAGGGAAGGGGGGCTGTGTTTACCCATCATTCCCTCTGTGATTAGCCATTCATCACTGCCACAGCGCTCCAGAGAGATGATGACATAACATGGTGTAAAAAGTCTCCTTCCTCAGAGAAAAAAAACTGACATGTCATGTCGACAAATGTTAGATTGTGCCAACATACGCCAAAAATGTTAGATTAAATCTCGATACCAAGAATAATGGATTCAGCCTCTTTATCAGATCCCTTCAGAGTATATCTGTTTTGTTTAGTATCCAAAACCAGTCAGCAGAGTTTTGTCTGAAAACCAGCTGACAGCAAGTTATGTAATATTCTGTCATCATTTACTCTCCCTGATGTTATTTCAAACCTGTATGACTTTCTTTTTTGTTTCTTTTTTTTTTTCTGTGGAACACAACATATATATTTTTTGTTGGTAACCAAACAGTTTGGCTAACCATTAACTTCCATTGTGTGGACAATCTGTACACTATATAGACAAAATTATTGGGACATTACACCAATGGGGAATTTAATGACATTATAAATGGCTTTATAAATACATAGACATTAATATGGAGTTGGTTCCCCCTTTGCAGCTAAAACAACTTTAACTCTCCTGGAAATCAATAAAAGTGGGCATTGCATAGCAGAATGATCAAATGCTAGTTTGCTTAAAAAATGCAATATATAGCTATTTGTCCATTGGTTAACAATAGCCAATTAGCTGCACAGTCTTAGTGACATTAACAGAAAGGGAAAGGTGTCTCAGTGGAAGACCAAGTTATTAGTCTTGATCTGGATCTGGCCAGGAAAGGTCTAATCCTAGTCTGGGTTTTGACCATGATATGAACATTTTTCATATCATTTAATGGTAGATTAAAAATCACTGTTTCCCACAGTCAATCCACCGCACCATTAGGATGACACTGTTTTAATCCATTAAAGTAAATGGAGGCTACAGGGGAGGTTCAAACCTAATTACAGCATTGACTCTTCATTAATACCTGTGAATAATTAATAAAACTGTTCATGTGAAAAGATACTTATTAAAATCAAAATAACCCTACAAGTACCCCTGGTCCAGGGATGTATTCTCATTAGCGTAACAAGCTGTGAACCACCAGAGGGGCCAATATAGATTCAGAATAAACCAGGGAATAGAATACACTGACTGCTGAGTTTGTGTCATTAGTGAAGATATTAAATGCATACAAGCCGTGTCAGTCATTGATGCATACAAAATTGAATCACAATGTCATGTTTTAAACTGTTTAAAATCCGTCTCACTTCAGATGGGAACAATAAGGCATATAAAACGTACTTTGTGTATTTCTAGTGAATTTAAAAGATGCCCTGCCCTTTTGACTTCCATTTTATGTGCATTATTTAAAAAAATAAATAGAATTTGCATTATTATATGTCACAGATGCTGTGACTGCTGCATGCAATATATGCATATCACTGCATTTATCATTTCGAGTATTCTCTCACATATGTAGGGGTTCTGGAAAGGACTATGTAGTTATCTGGGAGGCCAGCTGTCTTTGTTGACACATGGCTTCTTCCTCTGATATCACTCCTTTTCCGTCAAGACGCTTTATTTAACTGTAAAGCTCACATAATCTTCCACAGGGACTGTCTGCTCTTTACTGTCTCTCTCTGTTTCCTTGCCTCTTCTCTTGCAATATATGTATTTTAGAGATGGTCAATATGACATATTTTTAAAAATAGACTATAGAAGCCCTGAGACATTGGGTTGGTTTCAGGTTCAGCTGACCCCAATTAGACACATTTCTTAAGGAGCATTTACACAAGACATGTCAAAAACTGCTGGATGGAGTACAAAAGAATGGAATGGAACACAACGTAGGGGTTTCAAGACATTTCTAAAGCGTTCTATAGATGTAGCGCTTATGGGACTAAAAAAAGACTAAAAAATGTGGCACTATATAGAGTTGTGACACTAAAGACTTCACAGTATGGCAGTAGTGCTTTAAGACAATGCCCTGACAGGTTTTACTATGCGTTGAATCACATCATTTAGCATGCTAATTTAAGCACTGCCGCTAAGAAAAACAATGCTAAAATCCAGTTTAGCCAGTAGCTTTCTTCACTGGTCTACCTCTGTGGCATGTGTATTTAAATTAAGTCATTATGATGCAAATTCACCTTCTTTCTGTGTTAATGTATTTATGTCCCCCCC